CTGTGACACAGGTTAGACATGCTTAGAGAGCCTTAATGCAGTATTGACATTTCCTTTTGCAATTTTGATTACTGGTTTTTAAGCTTTCATTTAATAAAGCAAAATACAATTTTTATAGAAATTTTAAAAATAGATATAATCAAAAGGAAACACTGAGAAACCTGTAATTTGATACAAAGGGGGCTGTATTTTTGAAAATTCCACAGTAACCATTATTTTTATACAATCTTATGCATCTTTATAATTGTCCTTTAGGATACAGTATTTTTAAAGAATTTCCACAGTAAAAGATACGTAATATTCCAAGGTTATTGATACATATTGTCAAATTGCCCTTCATACTGATTTATCTTCATCCCACGGGATAGGAGAGTGTTCATTTTCTCTATTATCAAAGCTGAGTATTTTAATTTTTAATGCTCTGTACAAACCCAATTTGTATCTTTTTATGGGCTAATAGTCTGACCATCAGTCCTACTCAAGTCTGAAAATAAAGAGCAAACTACTTTAAAGATTATCTTTTAAAATAATACATAACTGAGTTACCAAGAAATTTAAGGACATTTTTAGAGGTTAAAAAACAAGACAAACTAGGAATATGATTGCGGACAGGTTGGGAGGAAGCCGAAGGAGCGCTGGCTGACCCCTGAGAACTTCCAGTGGTAACGTCTCCTCCACACAGGGGGCCAGACAGTGGCGCAGCGCCACACTGTGAGCATGTGTGAGAGACCCACATCAGCTTCTCATCCCCTGACAGCTGCCTGTTCAGTGGAAAGTGGACCAGGACAAGGGACATGTTCCACAAAAAGAAAGAAAATATTTGGCTGTGTTGCCCTTAGCCCTAGGTGGATTGAGGAAAGTAGTGTTTTCTACAAGTGAAAACTGTAATCAGCACCAGAATTCACACTCCCCCAAGCACGTGTTGCTTAGAGGTGGTTGGCCGGTAGGTAGTGCCCGGTACCTGGTGGTCACAGCCCTTAGTCCAATCTTGAAGAATGTGACCACACCTCATGCCCCAAAGAATCCTCAGTGACAGCATTTCACACACACACACACACACACACACACACACACACACACATATACACAATCACAATACATGGAAGGAAACAGGAAAACATTAGCAGAATAAAAGGTAGAGTAATATTCACAACATTTTAGAAATTGGAATTGCAGATACAGAGTATTAGATAAGTATATTAAATAAGAGTTAAAAATGTGATTAAGAAATAATTGACTACAAAAATGACCAGTTTGTCTTTTAAAAAGACCAAATAGAACTTCAGGAAATTAGAAATTAAAAATCAAAATTAAAAACTCCGGGTGTAAAGTAAATGGTACATTAAAAACAGTGAAATGAATATTGGTAACTAGAAGAAAAATGCAGAAGAAATTTCCAGCCCTGAGCAGTGTCCCCGCCCGGGGAGAGAGGAGAGAAACTGGCCTCGCCTGATACCGGGCAGTATCCCGGGCGGGGCCAAAGGGAAGCCTGACCTGCCCACAAAGTTCACAGCAAGTGGGACTTGCGCGCTCAGACATAATGGACGGTGGGAGGAAACATCCCCACCTAGAGGACTCATAGTTCTCTGTAGAATATTAAAGAGAAAAGGATCTAAGAAAAGACGCACAGAGAGAAGAGACAGATGGAGTGACAGAACAGCAGCTGACTGTCCACCCATCAGAGGAGGCCTCCAAGAGCTCTGGAGAAAATGATCCCAGCCCCAGTTGTGTGCTCAGCAAAACTGTCTCTCAAGGAACACATTATCCCACTGACAGGCTAAACAAAGTGAAAAACTGCTTCTTTGAAAAGACTATCAAAACTGACAAACTTCTAGCAAGAAAAAAAGAGAACAAAAACGATGAAATGAAAGAGGACTCAGTTAAAGGTGCCAAAGGGTTATTCAGTTGATAAGCAAATAATGCACAGGTCCTTCTGAACAATTACCCTTCTGAAAAAAACTATTGATATAAATTAAATGTGGTCTAAGTAAGTGGGAGATATGATCTGCAATTTAACAGATGTTCTCAAATTGACAGACAAATCATAGGGAGACCAAGGTAGGGGAATCTTAACAACCAGATGTTAAATTTTTTCTAACACTATTGTACAATTTAGTATTCTGTAGGAACAGATAAGCTGATTGTGCCCCAGGTAATAGAGAGCAATGAGAAAAGGGAAAATTCGCAGACAACATTGGACCAGTTGGACAGCAAAATTGTTTCCTATTGTAAATCAAACACAAAAATGAAAAATAAAATTATTAAAGATTTTTAAATGTTGTACAAAACCATAAACTTTTTCACTTCCTCTGGGTAGCAAATATTTCTTTAAGAAAACACAAAAGATATAATCTTAAAAGTGCTTCCTAAATTTGAGAGCATTAAAAGAGGAATTCAATGTTCATCACAAAACACTATATAGTAACGACTAGTCACAAGTAGGGAAAATGTATTTGGAACACATAACCAACAAAAGGTTATTTCCCAAATAAATAATATGGAATCAATATGAAAGAGAAAATTTATGAAGAGGCATAAATAAGTACAATATATAACAAAAAGAGGCCAATGAAATGAAATGTTGCAATGATAGTAGTAATAAAGAAATTTAAATTAAAAAGGACACTGATTTATATTGCTCGTGTTAATAAAAGATGAGAAAGCCTGTGTTAGTGAATTAAGTGAAGCAGTGGAAGTGGTGTATGCATTGCTTCTGCGATTGCCGGTTACCAGTGGGCGCAGCCAGTTGTGGTAACAAGGTGGGGTTGGTGGGGAAGAGGTGCAGCTCCCAAACCTGCTAGAACCTGAAGCACGAGTTCGTGTTCTCCAAACCCGAAAGATGAATTCTAGGAACAATGGAGGTTCAGAGTAGGAACAGTTTACTGAGAGAAAGATAGCTTCTGTCTACGAGAGACAGAGGGGGAACTGGAAAGTGGGTTGCCTGGGACCTGTTTCCCAGGAAGATTTTATGTAGCAAAGCCAGGAGGTGAGGCAGGTACAGAGTGGGACAAAACTGTAAGACCCAATGAAAAATGACAAGGTGGACATGAGGTGGGACAAAACCATGACCAACCAATGAGATTACAAGTGCAGTCACCCGGTAACATTGATTCAATGGGAATCAAGTGGGAAGACAAGTCACAAGGTGAGGTGGTATGCAGCCCAGTGAGTGGTCAGGGCCTGCTCTGGATTTGGGGTAGGCGCCTGCATCCCTGACCCCATGCTTTTGTCACTCCCATCGTGTGCAACTGCAGGAATGAAATGGTACACTTGATTTTTTTACTTTTCTCCCTTTTGTATTGGTGTATGCTTGTGAAGCATCATAAATACCCTCGCCTGGAGGAACTGTTGCATACAGAGCCACATCCAGTCTGGACCCCCATTCTTCAGAGTCCTTCCTGCCTGAGCTGCTTGGTCCATGTTGTGTTGGCGGTCGCGCCTGCTGCATGTGTGGCGAGGGTCGCACTGGTTCCTCCTTTTCCCTGAATATCTCTCTGTTGCAGCATTTTTACGTAGCCTGTTGTGGGTGGGCATCTGTCTGTAGTTTGGAGGAATTATGAACAATGGTACTGCACAGCTTGGCCCGTGTGTTTTGGTGTGCAACATTTTGGTTTCACATCGATGGGTCTGAAAAAGACTAAAATGTGCTTTACATGTTATTTATGTTATTAAGCATTACACAATAAAATAATGTAGGAAACCATCTCTGCCAGATTAGTGTGGAGCATTATCTTTTCTTCTTTGATTACTACTTATGGTAAGCACTTTCCATACTTTAATTTAAATATTGCTCTTTGTGAACTGCCATTGATGCTCTTTACCCGTTTTTCAGTTTGTATGGCATGGCTTATTACTGACTTGCAAAAAATCTTTTATTAATAATTATATAATCCTTGCAGTATTGTGGGAAAAGATGCTATTTATGCTTCCCCACTTTTTACTATTTACAATTTTAATTTTAAAATCTTTTATGATTATGAAATAAAAATATCACTGTACAGATTTCAGAAAATCAAATCAATAAACAAAAACTCTTCAAATATAAACAAAGACCAAATTAATTCTCTCTTCTCAGGTAACTACTGATAACATTTTGGCGCACATCTTGTGTGTGCTTGTGTTATGTGTGACAACATTATAAGGCATTCTTTATGGACACACATCATTTTACAAAAGGGTTTTTCATGCCATCTTATTTTTAGCGATTAACCTGGGTTACATTACCATTTAAAAACATTTAAAAGCTGTCTCACTGTGTAAGTATGCAAACTGTGGATTCACAGATACATCCTGGAAGCTATGCAGCAGCTGGAGGAGCAGTGTGGAAAGCTTCCCTTCGGGCAGAGCCTGTGTGCGGGGGACCACACGGGGTGCTTCACGCAGGCCTGGTCACAGCGCCAGGCCGGGCAGACGGGGTGGTGTGAGGTTAGGAGCAATCAGGGGCCCCGTGACTGAGCAGGGTCAGAAGCAAATTCGGGGACCTCACTGCGGCAGTCTTGGGGTCTCCAGAGTGAGTGTTGTGCTTTGTCTTCCCCATTGATCTGATATTGGCTAACATTTAGGTTACTTCCAGTTGTTTAAAATTTTAAACAAATTTGAAAGAACCATCATGTTAAAATAATTCCCCAGTTTTTAGAGATATTCAAACTGTTGGTCTCTAATTTTCAGCACCTTTCTTTCTCGCATGTCCCTGACTGGCTGGAAGGCAGGAGTTATATCAAGGGACAGTACCTGCCTCCATCTTACTCTGGAGGTCTCGTTCAGACTTAATGGGGGACAAAGACTGTCAGGAAAAATAAAGCAGTTTTCAAAGAACATTTGTACATTGAATATTTAATTTAGAAAGAAATTTTAATAGGCAATAACAAAACGTTGATAGGTCTTGTCTTAGCTGTATGTAAATCTTCCTTTTTATGCCACATTGACATTATAGAACCTTTAATATAGCAGCTTACTTAATGAAACAAGAACTTTGACACACAGGTGCTTTTGCTTCGCAGGCCGCGTGTGCCGAGTCCTGCCCAAGGCCCTTTAACGTCTTGCCTGTGAAGACGAAGTGGAGCAGCATTGGCTTCCACGTTCTTCTGTTTGATCTGGAGAACCTCGTGGAACTTCTGCTGCCCACTCCACCAGAGCACGCCGGCCCCTCGGGCTCCTTCCATGGCAGCCAACTGCTGAGGAGAGCCCGGAGCACGGTGGGCAGGAAGACGCTGACCTCGAGGAGGAGCGGAGCTGCCTGTTCCCCAGAGCCCCAGGCCCCACCGGCCGCTGTGGGCCTGGCCCAGGGCAGGGACGCCATCACCTTCCTGGAGGAAAGCGAGGGCGTTAAATGGCAGAGGAAGACGAAGAGCTCCCGGAAGACGCAGCCTCAGCCGGCACAACAGGTGAACGCCAGCCTCATTCTGGACACCGCGAAGCTGTTCCTATCCTGCCTCCTGCCCTGGGGCGTGGATCCGGAATTGGACCGCCTCTGCACCAGGCACCTCAACATCCTGAAGCTTCAGGGACCAGTTTCTCTAGGCCTGGCTTCCAACCAGGACCACTTCTCACTAATGCTGCCAGGAGGGAATTTGTGCAGCCTGGAAACGAAGACAGAGTACTTGAGGGTGAATTTATTTTCCAGAAAAGTTTTGGACTTGTCAAATAAATACACAGCCACTCTGCCAAGCCAGTTGGGAACATCAAGAGGACTGGAAAATGATTGTGATTTTTTGCAAGAGTCCAACACCATCACTTATTTATTGAGCAGACTATTTTTAGTTAATAAGTTAGTTAATATGCCTTTAGAATCGGCCTGTAAAATTGACAGGTAAGACACACCTACAGGCTTTGACTTTTCCAATTTGGGGCATTGTGCTATATTCAGCTCTCTAGTCGTCCTTCCTTCCCATTTTCCTTCCTTCCTTCTTTCCTTCCTAACCTTCTTCCCTCCCTGCCTCCCTTCCTTGTGATGGGGATAGACAGCAACTTCTTTAGTTCAAAACACATTTAAGAAAATCTTCCCTTTACTTCTTTGGGATTATAGAATAATTTAGCAATGCATTCATGTTTTAAGATTCATACATTTGTTCAATAAATATTCATTGTTATATACCAGTCACAGGGCTAGACAGGTCATGAGTCATAGACAGACAGAAATGTACATGTGTGTATAAACACCATGAAATCCTTCATACCTGATATGAATTAAGAATGCACAAAGAATATTCAAATAAATGCGTATAATGACATATCTCATACATTCTTGGGAAGGAAATGTTTGAAGGTTTCATATCTCCAGTCATACTGTTGAGTTTATTTGGGTATAGACTCTCCAGTAGTGCAGTATGGGAAGTAGTTTAGTAATAATGATAGCTATTGCTGTTTGAATGTTTAATATTTGCTAGTCACTGTCTAATATCTTTACATACATGATTTTGTTTAATATGCACAGCAAGGCTGGGGCATAAGTACCATTCTTTTGCTTATTGTACAGATGAGGACCTTGAAGCTTATGGAGAGAAAGAGACCCCAGGTTAACTCAGCTCCTGCGGTTGATACAAGAGTGGTCCCCATCTAGTCCCAGAGCCTGGTTAGTTGCTGACCACTGCTCTGTGTGGTTCCTCCTTTTTCATAGTTTTCCATGGTCTGATGTTAAGGGTTGAACTTGGGTCACTAAGTGCTCACTTAACAAACCAAGTCGCCCGCAGTACCCCCAGGAGACACACTTTAGCATTATGATTTGGATGGCATATCACCCAACAAGAACTGCAGTAGAATGAGGGGTGGCAAAACACTGGTAGTTCAAGTAAGCGGTGAGGCAGTCAAGGTAAAGAGAAACCTCAGGGTGCGGCGACCCCAGCGGAAGCCTAGGTCAGGCGCCTGTGGCAGGGTAGGGACAGTCCTGGTCTCTACGGGGCTCCACTCCACCAGCCCGTGCCAGGTGCCAGGCGGAGACAGAGCTCTGGCCTGCAGGGAGCCTGCAGCTCAGCGGAAGCCCCTGGGCTTGTGCAAGTCAGCGTTAGGCTTCTGTCCATCCCACTGCTCCTGGGTCATGCACACTTTAATTTTCAGTTTTCAGGCCCTAATAAACAGCAGACTGGAAGACTTCTATGATTCAAATATGCAGCTTTCCTTTATTTTCTTTCCCTTTGTTTCTTTTCTGTTTTCTTTTGCTCATTTTAAGGGCTTAATTCTATTTTTTTAAAATTTCAGATGGGTGTTTAGTTAACCTCAGTGAAAATCACACAGCACCAAAGTGTGGGGAAGCGCGGTGGTCCTGGAGTCAGAACCTGGCCCGGCCCCACCTTGTCACCTGGGTGTGTGACTCCGCAGTCCCTGGGCCTCGCAGCGAAGCCTCCCTGTCCTCATTCACAGAAGGAGCCCTGTGGGGTGGGCGTGGCCAGGGTTTCTCCCGGCCACCGGAGCTGAGGGTGGGGGCCATTTCTCTTGCTGCCTATGATCCACAGAGCTGACCTGAGACTGAGTGGCGTCCACTGAGGTTTCCCCTCAAGTCAGCCCTGTGCAGGGCGGACAGGAGGCCACAGTGCCCAGCACACCTTCCCGTGAGGGGCCTTTAGGTGGTCGCCCTGCATGAGTCAGTTCTTTAGAAAAACTCTCCACTGAAACACACAGGTGGCTCAGTGATGATGTGAGGACACTAGGCTGCCTGTCTAAGGCCTTAACTTCAAACTTGAGCTGTGGTTCCGCCCCATTTGTCTTTTTTTGAAAACTCTAAACAGTATGTGTTGGACTTGTCATACCAATCCTTCCAACACGCTCAGCCCTGCCACTAACCTCTTACTGAGTCTCAAGGGCTCAGAAGCCATGGTAGGCGGGGAGGCAGGAAGGAGACAGGTGGCCTGAGACCATCTGACAGTAGCTGGAGACCCCTGTGACCCTGGGAAGCCTGATGGTAGCGGGACGACTCCTTGGTGAATGTCAGCGCATTGTGATTCAAGCATTTGTGGCAGTGGCTGGAAGTCACAGAAATGCCTGGCAAACTAAGATTTGCCATTCTATTGGGGATTATGGTTTTAGGTGGAGCAAATTGGGAACAGAGATTCAGGAAAGGGATTAATGTGGGAAATAATCCACATTCAGTTCCCAACTCTGTCAACATGGCTATGCTCCTATAGCTTCAATTTATTTTCCCAAAGTAATTTTCATACTTCTTAATTAATCTCCTTTAAATCTTTTTTCCAACAGATCCTTCAAAGTGGACTCTATACATAAGGTGAAGAGTCCTGTGAATGATATTTTGAATATTTCAAGCTTCTATGGTTATGTAAGAAATGGTAAGGAATTTACAGGCACAGATATGATCTGATTTATTTTTCCTATGAAAGAAAAAAATTAATATTTCTATAACTGGATAGCAGTGCTAAAATAAGTAACATCATATAAAGATAGATTTCATCATAGGGATTTTTTTAAATGCCTGAAAATCTGAAACTTCAACAAAGGAAATATATGGGCATTAAATTAAGACCATATGTAACTTTTTACAGTTTGTTGCACTAAAGTCTTTATTACCAAACACAGGATTATTATATTAGATCATTTTATTGCTATTTCAGAAGATGGCTTTTCTGAGTAGCAGCTAAAGTTCTCATGGAGGACCTCAGTGTTCTGGTTTTCTTTCCACACCACTGGCTAATTCATCTCCCCACCTGCCTGTCCACCTCCGGCCTCTGGCAGGTGACAGTTCTGTCATTCCACGTGCTCTCAGAAGCCCTGTCACCCCTTTCTACCTTCCCTTCCGCTCCTGCCCCACACCCAGAAGTGGCAGCTGCACCATGCTGGTGAGCTGCTGTTTGCTTTTCATCCTCCCCCAAGTTGCATTTAGTTCTTTAACCCACCGTCCTTGACAAGGAAAGTTGGCTCCGATTTCCACCTCGTATTAAGGCTCTAGCAGCACAGTAAGTGTGCATCGAAAGAGCCCCGGATGCCAGTGAGCAGCTGCGGCTGAATCTGACCCTGAGCTTCCACAGCTGAGCCACAGTGGACAGCGAGTCAGGGAGGACAGAAGAGGACCAAAGGGAGCACTCTTCCCTTGTGCTCCCGGAGCGCTGGAAACAGGATTTGAGAATTATAGTGGCTCCATCCTACTTGTTTTCTGCGGTTTTTAGTTTTTTTCACATTCATAGTTTATGATCCTTCAGAAAAAAATGATGAGTGGTCATGTTTTTTTCAAATATTTCTTTCGTATTCTTGATTTGTATGATATCCAATACCTTCTAGCCTGTTTCCCTTGACTATTAATATAAAAATATGTAAGTACATGGGTATATAAATGTATCAATCAGATATGTCAAAAACATACTGGACAGATGCTAATTTAAATATTGATGCCACAATGGCAAACATATATTAATCCATTAATTTAAATAGACGATTACCGTAGCAACTTTCCCACCAGCAAAATCCCCATAATTCTCCCTTTCTGCTTCCCAGGATGTGACATCTAGATGAAAAACTTTATCCACCAGAAAGTCTTCATCGCCAGATTTTCATTTTGATGATTACACGTGCATTTTAGTTCACGAAAAGGCACGTGGTGCTTTGTTGTGTGGGGAGTGTCCGGCTCTCCATGGACAGAGCCCCACTTCACTCTTAAAATTTCACACTGATCATTGAGGCAAACAGGTAGAAAGGATACTCAAGAGGGAAACTTAAAAGAAACAATGCCTGACAGAATGGGTCAGATGACTCAGTAGGACTTCACCTATGGATCAGAGCGTTTTCTGGGTAAGGGCAAAGCAGAGGAAGGAAGTCTGATTGCACATGTGTGGCACACTGATGCATGCAGGCCTGAACTGCAGGAATTGTTTGTACGAGGGAGGATTGGAGAGTGTTCCAGTGATCTACCCTAGGCTGGAGAAGAGGTGCAAAGACGGGTTGAAGGTGTGAGGGTGAAGGAGGCCGGACGGGAACTTGCATTAGTGTAACTTTCTGGACACTGACAGAGCGTGGATGCCTGCCCCACCCCGGACCTACTTCCTCCAACTCGGGAGCCAACAACCTGGGGTGTTGCCCTGGCCATGTTGTGAAGCTCTAGATGTGAATGTGTCCTGTGCATTTCTAGGTCAGAGCGACTGTCCGGTTCCTGAGGCCGACCTTTCCCTTGTGAAGTTGATCTCTTGCTGGCGAGACCAGTCCGTGCAGGTATGGGTTCCTTCGTGCTCAGGAAGCTACTGGAAGTTCTTTGCTGCCTCGGCTCTTCTAGCCCCTTCCCCGGAGGTGCACATTCACAACCTCTCTTGTCCTCCCCTGTGGCGTCCCCAGGCTCCCTCCCCTGTTGATGCCTGAAGCAGGGTCAGGATGGAGAGACCCGAAAGGTCGCACAGGTTGGGCCCATGGGGCGGGTGGCTCATGCCTTCGCAGGTAGCTTCTTCTTGCCTGACAGAGTTTCAGCTGGAGGCAGAGTTGTCTGTTTTTTCATTTCAAAATGTGCCCGGACATGGAGGCCCCTTTGGTTGGGATTTTGTTTACGTGAAATCAGAAGCATTCTTCCATCCTGAGAATTCCTGATCTGGGAGCTGATTTTGAGAGCTGGTTTCTTCAGTGTCCAAGTCCCTCTTCCTCTTCTAAAGCTTCCTTGGGTTCTGGAACTTGCTGCAGCTTCGAGCGTGGCACAGTAAATACCTGTCTCTGACTAAGTAACTTTTGAGGGGAATTTCATTCTGCTTCATAAGCTTGATGAATATCAAATCTGTAAGATAACATGGCAGTAACTTCAATTACAGATGGTTATTCTTGGGTATAGGGAAACAAAGAAAGTTAAGTTGACCCCCTAAGACCAAATACCCACGGTTGGGATGACAGTGGAGAACTGTCGCCATGGCCCATGAGTTTCCATGGGATTGGCCACGCTACAGCCTCATTTCTTTCTTTCTTTTTTTTTTTTTTTTTTGGTACCGGGGATTGAACTCGGGACCTTACACTTTCGAGGCAGGCGGCAGAACCACTGAGCTAAATCCCCAGCCCTCCAGCCTCATTTCTCATCATTCCTCCACCCCATTTTTATCCTGCTGTGGTCTCCTTGGCTTTCTTTGTGTTTCTGGACCAAACAGCTGGTTCATTTGCCTGGGGTCTTGCTGTACTCTCAGGCTTGAGTTTTCCTCCCTGCATTTTCTGCCCAGGTCTTTGCCCTCAATCCGTCTGGTGAGGAGGTCTGCTCTGTCCACTCAGCCACCCCACGCCTTGGCCACAGTGCCATCACTAGATCTGTTTTCCATATTGTGACTGCTTTTTGTGGAAGTGGTGCCGTGGCCTCACTTGATTGCTCATTCTCTGTCTTCTCCCTGTTGTGTCACCCTGCCGAGGGCAGGCCCTCCTTGGTCTCACTGACCCCTCTCAGGGCAGGGCTCACCTTAGCCAGCCAAGAACTGTTCAGTGAGTGAATGAACGAGTGAATGAATGGCTTTGAGACATCCTGGGTCACAATCCAGCAAACCCTAGAACATGCTGACTTAGTAGATTAGTAGTGACCTCCAAAGGGTTAAGTTTTAATGGTGAGATTTTCTTTCCCCCAGTAACTGAAGAATTTCGCAGGTGGGAAATATTCCTTAAGAAAAAGGACTGAACAGAATCCAAAGGTCTTTTGTAGGTCACTTAACATTTAGCTACATTTTGATGTAGTTTGGGCATGTTTGGACTAATGGACCTGTAAGCATCTTTGGCTCAGTGACCACGTCTGAAATGCTGGCATCAGGAGAGACATCAGCAGAGCACTTTCTGACCTCACATGTAGTAATAGCAGCTTAGTTAGAGGACTTGCCAACTCTCAAGTGCCCTTTCAGAACATCACGTTTGCAAAAGAAGAGTTTGATCGCCAATGTTACTACTTGCATTGCAGCTATTTTAGATGCTGCTTCGAGCAGAATAGAAAAATATCATTTCTAGAAAAGCAGTTCAAACCCAGATTCTGAGCTTTGAGTTTTTTACAAATGTCCCAAGCATTTGTAATTACATGAAAAACACTGTATCTCATTCAAAAAAAACATTTTCAGGTAACTGAAGCGATACAAGCTGTCCTGCTGGCTGAGGTTGAGCAGCACATGAGAAGTCTGAGGAAGACCCCAGCAGACAGTTGTCGTGTGTCCCCGGGGTGGAGAGACAGCAGGGATGGGGTGCCGGCCCTGCCTGAGGAGGACCGGCCCGAAGACCTGGAGCTGCAGCACCTCCGGAGCGCTTGGCCGATGCACTGTGAGTATGGCTTTGCAGACTGCTGGTCCTCGGAGTCCCGCTCTGCTTAGCTCACACTAAGACATCCTTCTGCAAGAGCCACGCCAAGGGTCATTCCTGACCTGTGCCACTGGGGATTTCTTCTCATAGGTGCAGGATTTTAAGAACTTCTAGAGTCTATTCTAATCATAAATATTTTCTAGAGCCAAAGTTTATATAACAGTGATTTGAAATTAACAGTGTTAATTGTTATAACAGTGTTTTGAAATTAAGTGATGAGAAATGAAGACAGGATTAACAGTGTTAACCTAGAAGGATGTGGATTACAAGGATACACTGATAATTATTTGTTCTTTTCGTTTGTTTTTTTTGGTACCCGGGATTGAACTCGGGACCTTGCACTTTCAGGCAGGCAGTGGAACTGCTGAGCTACATCCCCAGCCCCGTGTCCTATATTTGTTGATAATAGCCTTATGCTAATTTTTCTTTTCTGTAGATAAGAAATATCATATAGAAAGTAGAACTGGCTTTACAGTTGGGTAATTTGATCTGGAGATGAAATTTATTACTATAAATTCATAATAAGAATGCATATCATTTACGACTAGCAAGCGAATCTAAATTTATGTTGTAAAGTGTTATCTGAGTTTTACAGCTTATTATCCATGATTTAAAAATTAAAACAGCAAAATTTGATTGCAAACCTAATTTTCAACTTATTATTTATTTAATTTTTTTGGTACGGGGGCTCAAACTCAGGACCTTGCCCTTGCAAGGCAGGCAGCGGAACCACTGAACTAAATCCCTGGCCCTAATTTTCAACTTAATAAGCTTTTGGTGAATGCATTAATATGTAATACCATTAAATGAGTGCTTTTGCAGAAAAAAACATGTTGCAAATGTATATATTACATACATGTCCTTCTTTTAGATCTCAAAAGAGATTTTACCTTTATTTATTTGGAACTAAGGGAAATGTTGCTATATTTAAAATGTCAGATTCTAGAACAGGTATCACTCCTGGAAATGTGCTATAATTATTTCATTTCATTTTGTTTGTTTCGGTTTTTTGAGACAGGGTCTCGCTGTGTAGTTTAGACTGGCCTTGAACTCGTATGTAGTCCAAGCTGGCCTCAAAATCACGATGATCCTCCTGCCTCAGCCTCAGAAGTGTTGGGATTACAGGTGTTTGCTACCACTCGCAGCTCATTGTTTCATGAGATTCCTGACAGGAGGGTGTTTTGTAGTGGGAGATGAGAATCAGGTATTCTCAGCAAAGGCCAAAGGTTCAAATAAATGGAAGACTTCTCAACCTCGGGAAGGTCGTGGATGAAGGCAGAGTCACTAGCTATTTGGCAGAGCTGGGGTTACTGCAGGTCCTCGGTGGGTTGCTTGGTTGGCAGGAATGGGCTTGGACTATCTGGGAAGCTCGAGTTCAGGCACCGCCCGCTCAGCCTGCCCTGCTGTCATGTGATCCCCGTGACGTCACACCGGCCTGACCATGCTCTCCAGGCACAGAAGTCGCTGGTGAGGAATTGAGTCCAACCCTGATTTAAAGACATTGGGCTTTTCAGTGTGGTTTCATCTGCCTTTTGATCAAGTAGGATTGTGCCTTTCTTTGCCTACGGTTAAAGAAGATTCTGGTTAATTTGTGATAGGAATTGGAACAGCAAAGTATTAAAATTCCTTTCTATATGGGTGGTGAAATTTAAAATATTTTACTTTAAAAACTAAAGTATATTTGCAAAATACTGAACATGAATTTTCTGAAGAATTACTATTTTCAGGAAATTATTAACTGACATTGCAATTAAATGGGAAACACGTAGCAGGCTTTGAAGAGGGACTTGTCCAAGCAATACTATTAAATGAGTATTACCCTTTCTGTGGGAAAAGATTTATTTTATATATACAAAGTTCAGAACTTGGCAAATTACAGGACAAAGTTTTAGACTTTCATTATATTGCTGTGAAGTACATTACATGATAGTATTTTAAAAACAAAAACAAAAAGCTGTTTGTTTGTTTTTAAATTTGAAATGTCCAGAGTTTAAGGAGGTGATGCAGGGACTACTCACTGGTGTGTTCATCCCTCGAATTTCACAGGCAGATTTACTTAGCTCAGGGTCGCTGCAGCTCATGTCACTGTACAAAGCACTCTGGGGTAAAGGTGTGTGCTGTCTCATTGTATTAGCCCTTTTGCCTGTTGGTCTTCTGCGAGCTCTCTCCTCCCCCTGCTTGTTTCCTGATTTATTTATTTTTTTTCTTGGTTTATTGGTGCCACTGGGGATTGAACTCAGGGCCTTCATGCTGAACTACAACTCCAGCCATTTTTTATTTTTTATTGTGAGACAGGGAGGGTCTCACTAAGCCACTCAGTTGCCCAGGCAGAGCTGGGACTTGCAATCCTCCTGCCTCAGCCTCCTGGAGTGTTGGGATCTCAGGTTACCTCCATGCCTGGCTGGCAGTGCATCTTATGTATGAATCAGTTGGGACAGTAAAAGACAGCTTTGCTATGCATGAAACTTCTTCTATGCTAGAGCTGAGTGTTTGGTTTATTAGCATTATGATAACATGGCAGTGATCAGAAAGAAAAATAATAGTAGTAGTTGCACTCTTGATATGTCCTCAGTGTGTGAAGTCCTTGTGAATGCCATCTCACTTTCTCCTGTAATTCTCACCTAATCAACACGAAACCTGAGACTCTGCTCCGCACTTGGGCCCTTGGCAGCAGCTTCATGGGTTTGTAGTTGTCCAGAGAGGTGTTGGAAAACAACGGATCTCCTGGTGCCCCCTTGGTTTGTCCCGAGAAATTACCACTGTCAGCTTTCCTTTGGCTCTCCTGAATACATAGCCTCATGCACATTAACAATAGCAGAGTTAAGGGGCGGGGATTTAGCTCACTGGTTCTGGTGCCTGCCTTGAAAGCGCAAGGTCCCGAGTTCAACCCCGCTACCAAAAAACAAAAAAGAATAGTGAAATAAATTTTAAAAAGTTGATCCATTAGGTGCTTTGGCTGCACCAGTGGTAGATACCTTACTCTGTCAGGGATGCTTCCATTACCCACGGTTACATGAACAGCCTGGGTCTGGGGTGAGACTTCCTCCCATATGGCCCCTCACACTGCACTCTTCTCCAGGAAACTGCATCCTCCACCCTGGCAGCACGAGGGAGATCCGCTCCAATCAGATTGATCCAAAGACTGAAGAATTTATTGAGTGACTTTCTTAGATTTTTATTCCTCTCTCATAAATCACACTTTCTATTACCAGAGAAAATGCAGAACATTCAATCTTTGCCATCACAGGCCTTGCAATAAAGAAAATCACAGGGTTTCCGGGACTGTTTGTAGGAGAAGCACTGGAAGTCAGATGAAGTGAGGTTTGCAGTATAAAGTGAGTTTAACTCTGTAACCTTGCATTTTATTTCTTCAGAGTTTTCACTTGTGACATTTCATGGCATTTATTTTCTTTGAGGTCTTAGTTTTTGTGTCCTAATGATCTTTTATGTGAGTGGTGGGTTTTATCTGAGTCTACATTTTTACAATGATTACATTGCTTTCTTCCCAGAATCCATTTAATAAGAAATTTTACAATTAATACTCACATTTGAAGTGAAGATTTATTGCTTTAAAAACAGCAATGATTTCCATTATTAAAACACATTTGAAAGTTATTTTCCTTTTTTTGGGAATGTTATTTGGATCACTTTGAACAAGTAGTCCAAATTGTTCCAGTAAATAAGTTGGTTGAAATAAAAATGGGGGCTTTGTAGATAAAACTGTCACCTTGGAATTATTAGCTGAATTTAAATTCCACCTTAAACTGCGGTTGTGAAAAGAATGCATAAAGTAATGGATATTGCAAATAATCTATATTGCATGCATCATATTAAAAGACTTACCTAGAAAATTAAATATCAAAATGTGCATTTTATATAAATAATAGCATGTACCTTTTGCAAAGCAGAAAATAAGCATATGTTCTACAGAAGTGTCTCTGTGGCCCTGGCCTGCAGGACCAGCTGGGGCCTCTTCCTCTTCCCTGTAAGCTGCAGAAGAAAGGAAGCCCTTGGGGTGCATTGGCTCTCACAGGAGGCTGTTCCTTGGCTGTTCTTATTTGTAGTAAACCCAACCTCAGCCACCCACTATCAGATCTCCAGAGTGGGAGTAAGTGCCATCCCTGCCCTCGCCTCTCCCCTTGGTCCACACCATTGTCCAATCAGAGGTCACCTGCTTCAGTTTGCACTCTGCTGGCACTGGCCAGAGGCCTCTATAGGTTACACAGCCGACATCAGAAATGGCTGAGGAACCTCCTGTCTCGTGGCAGGAGTAGCCACACAGGCTGCACCCCACATACTCTGCTTTCTGTACTGCTCTTGCCTGCACTACGCTTGTGTGGTCCATGGAGACAGCAGTCCCTCCAACTCTGACGCACCATGCACTGTACCCAGACTCACTACTCACAGGCAACACTGTGGAGCCCGGCTGGAAAAAAATTCAACATCTCATGACAAACCAATAACCAAAGACACATCTTCAGAGGGAAGCTGCTTCCTTGAGAAGGTCATATTACAAAAGGTGTCTATACACGTTCCAATAAATGCACAAGCTTCAACATAGGAATGCAAGAAATAGGAACAAACAAGATAATAGGACACCATCTAAAGATTACAACTCTCTGCTAACAGATTCCAAAATATCAAAGTGGTCAAAATGCCTGATAAAGAATTCAAAAGAATGACTTTTTAAAAGTTCAGTGACATCCAAGAAAGAACAGATCAACAATTAAGTGAAATTAGGAGTAAAATGCAGAATATGAATGAGAAATTCAGTAAACAGATATTTTACAAAAGAATCTTGAAAATAAAGAGCTTGTAAGCCAAAAAAAAATGTAGTTAAAATCATCAACAAAGGCTAGATCAAGAGTTACAAAGAATCTCAGAACATGAAGCTAAGTCTTTCAACATAACACTTTCAGATTAAAAACAACAACAACAAAAAAGAAAGAATAAAGAAACTA